TCTTCTCAATTTCGATTGGCGCAGCAGCAGGTAATTCAGCTGGTTGCTCGGGTTTCTTGATCTCTGGGGCAGCTTCCTCGGCATGACGTGTCACACGGTCAGGTTTCTCTTCAGCTTTCTTCTCCTGTTGCTCCTCCAGAGGCTTCTCGGCCTTCTTCTCTTCGGCAGCGGGCAGAGCCTTCTCCTCGGAGGATTCAGATGCAGCAGAGCTGGATTCGTCTTCCTTCCTCACGCTAGGTTTCACTTCTTCAGCCTTCTTCTCCTCTTTTGACTCCTCTTTCGCTGCCTCTGCGCTCTTCTCCGCGGAGTCGGCCTGCTCGGAGCTCTTGCCGTCTAGCACCACAGCTTTCTGTAACAGAAACGTTATATCGAAATAAGAAAACACGAAACGGATTGGCAAATCTAAATTTCCGTGAAATTACTCGAAAGGAAGAATCTACACTTACCGGCTGTTCTGCTGGAACTTCAGCAGCATCCTGCTTAGGCTCTTGAGGAGCAGCTTGCACCGTTTCATGAGACTCCGAAGCAGCCGGTTTCAGGCTCTCCTCCTCTTTCTTCGCTTCCTCAGGCTTCTCCTGCTTCTGCTCAGCAGCAGGTTGAGATTCTTGCGGCTGTTGCTGTGGCTCAGCCGTTTTTTCCTGTCTAGCGTCCTCTAGTTTCTTCTCTTCAGGTTTCGCTTGCTGAGGCTCCTCTTTCTTCTCCTCGGCCTTCTCAGACGCCTGGAGATTTTCAGCTGGAAGCTCGCTCCTCACGTGAGGCACCTCGGATTTGGCTGATTTCGCCTCAGGTAGCGGTGCTTCCGCTGCTTCCTGGCTCGGTGCCGGGACAGTCGGGATCGCTGGCAAGTCTGAAAGCTTGGTCCCAGATTTCTCCAACGGCACCACAGGCAGTGGCTCCTGGTTCTCTGCTACGGGCATCGTGAACACCGCGTTCAGGTGCAGCAGGCACAGCATCGCTATTACGATCAGCTTCGTCATCTTGCTATCTGTAAGAGAAAGTGGAGATCGCTGTTGGTGATAC